GAAAGCAGATGATGTCCAAACGCTGTTTTGGTCCTGAAGAACTTGACGCCGAGATGGTGGTATTGGCTGTTTTGCTTTTCACCTCATTTCTTGATCGACAGTCAGATGCTCGATGACCTAGTTTACCACAGTTGTGACACTTCAGCGTTGTCGACTGAAACTTGGATCGCTTGAACTCTGGAACGGCGTCGGTTGAGTTAACCGTTGAAGCTTTCCTTTTCAAAAACGAGAGCGCTTGAAGTTCACACTGCAGCTTGTTCCTGTTGTTGACTTCGGTAGTAAACACCAGCCTCTGAATGCGCTCATCAAATTGTGCCATGTGAGCAAGCACCGTAGATATGGCAATCTGCTCAGTGCTCATGTTTTGCCAGCGTGATGTGAGCGTTGAAAGCAATCGGGCAGCGTACGCGGCATAACATTCACCTTCCTTGGGCTTGCCATTCATCATTTTGACAAGAGTAGCGGCTGGTGTGTCCACACAATCGTACCGGGATAAAAACAGGCTTTTGAAGTCACACCATGTCATCCCCGCAAACGACACTTGCGCCAGCCAACGTGAAGCACTACCTTTCAGAGCCTTGCTTAGGGTAATTATTAGAGCACTTCCCCGAAGCGGTACCTCCGATAGGCACAGATCCGCTGTAGTACACCAGGCACGTGCGTCTACATCCGGCTTATCAGGGTCAAATTCAGGCAGAGAAATATACTTGGTACCTGCCGGGCCCTTGATGGCTTCTATCAAGGACATCATATTCTGGTTTTGAGCAGCCAGCAGCTCCCGAAGCATGCTCTCGTCGCACCGTGACGACATCGCTCCAGTCTCCGTGTTTTCTTCAACTCGGGTGTATCCCACTTCTGATGTTGCGTCAAAGGTGTTTTCTTCACGCTCCGACATGGTTTTATGTAAATGTGGGCACACGAACGAAAGATGATTTAAATCAAAAATAACTTTATTTAGACTAGTGGTTGTACACGAGAAACAAACGCGTGCGTCGGTAGCGAGCGTCCGCTCCGGCTGTCCGAACTCAACTGCCACAACACTCGGTCCCTTCTCTAGCCCTCGCTGCATCCCCTCTACCGACGATCGTGTCCAAGCGGTAGGGCGCGCTTGCGTTTCCGGTAACGATATTATTGATTCGCAAAGCTAATTGTCAGATGGCGCTGCTTGTAGCACTATGGCGCCATCAATCCACGACATATATAATAATAATAGCTATATTTCATAACTTGGTAAATTTTCTTACTCCTTCAAATATTTCATGTAAACCGCACTAAATACAAAAATGTTTGTGACCACTGTCAGTAAGTAAAGAGGTCATTGTACGAAATTCTTCGTGCTCCGCGACTGGACTTTAAATACATATAAAAGTATATGAGGTAATAAAAAAAAACAATTTTTGAATTTTTTGTATGTCTGTCTGTTTGTTCCGGCTAATCTTTGTGGTTGGACTGATTTTGACGGAACCGACTGGCAGATAGCTGATGTTCTTAGTAATGACTTGTCTATTTTTATTTTAGAAAAATGATAAGGGTCCGCGCAAAAATATTAATACCCATGAAATTAATAAATTTCACACGGGCAAAGTCGCGGGAAACAGCTAGTATAATTGATCATTCTATTGATCTACAATTCTGTTCTTAACAAAATCATACATATTACGTATGAGCTTAATCCTTCTACATAAAATCCGACCCATTTGTACTACAGCAGCAATAATACAACTGACAGCGTGCCTCGAGCTTATATAATTGGCTCATGAGTTTGGCTTAGTTCAATTGTAGTCGTTTGTTGGGTGTATACCTACACAAGGCAGCTTTTTCTCAAAATTATCAACCTCTACACACCTGTAGTCTGATATTTAACAAACCAAGCCAGTGTCGTAGCATGGGTTGCTTCTGCCTGGAGAGGCTCGAGCCGAAATACCTCCATTCCCCTTCTCTTCATTTTCGCATGTATCTTAAAAATATTCTTAATATAATATTCGTTAAAAGACTTCTAACTTCATGACTATCACCGTCATCATTTTATATCAAAGTCCATCGCTGAACATAGGCCTCCCCCATAGATAGTCTATTTCATTATTATTTTGATGTGTTATCAAAAAAATGATGCTGCTCATCTCGTATTTCAGTATCCTTTGTCGATTTCTCTACTCTATATATCATAATTACAGCCCCTCACGAGTCTTCTGCTTAATATAGACCTCCTCCAAGGAATCCCACACAGCACGATATTGAGCGATCTGCATCATCGGCTTCCTACATGTCTTACCAGGTCGTCACTCCGTCTTGTCGAGGAGACACGCTACACTTCGGCTATCGGTTCGAGGCTGCCACTTGAAAACTTTCTTCTCCCTGGGCTGTCGGGTCTTCGAGCTATATGGCCGACCCTTTGCCACTTTACCTTACTAATCCGTTGAGCTATGTCGGTTACTCTGATTCTACTTCAGATATATTCATATCTAACTTTACGCGGAGAAACTCCGAGCATATTCCTCTCTATAGCTCTCTGAGCGACCTTGAGCTTCCTCACATGGCTAGCAGCAGTGAAGGACCATGTCTCAAATCCATAAGTCACGAATGGCAACACGCACTGTGTTCAATCCTCATAAAAATCCCATGCAGTTGCATGCGTCCGTCAAATTCCGAGCTGTTGCATTCGACCGCACCCACCACACTTTAAACCATAAAAATTTGTATTTAGAGACTACTTTTCTATGAAGAAGTTTGGCATTATAAAATCTATACAAAATTCTCTATCCTGTGGTCTAAAAAAAGTCAGGTTTTACTTCATTACAAAAAGATTTTAGTGGTTTTGATAACAAAAAAAAAAATATACCAAGCGGATGTCGGCAGCGTGAAAACCACAATTATTTCAATATATTACTCGAAATTAGTTACGTAAAAAGATAAATTATATTCACATAAAAACTTTCATTACAATTTTATAATAAAACGCTATACTAAAAACCTATACTAAGACACTAATAAAACACTAGAAAAATCCAACATTCACACGAAAATGGCGTAGATTATAAATAAATATCCATAGACTAACTGACTCTTTCTTCCACTAGAGGATAGAAAATTTCATATTGATTCTATAATGCTAAACTCATTTATGTGTTAAAGTGCCTGTGGGTGGGTGCGGTCACATTTTTTACCTCTTGAATTTTGGCAGAATATAAGCGCGGTCAAATTTGGACACTTGGTAGCTAAGAGGATAACCAGTCTTCTTATTGGTTTCAAGTTTTGAAGTATACCTAACGAGAAGCTGTGTCGTAATCTCCCCCCTCCTCATTTTAATTGCTACATCATACTGTGCTCAAACATATTGGATTCGACCTTTATCCAATCAAACGTTTGTAGGAAATAGATAAAGGAAGGCTCCTATGCGATGTTAGAGCCACGAGGGACAATCACAACATCCAGGTCCGAAAAACAATATTTTGTTGTATAAATACAATTACAATACAACACAATTGGGTTTATCTCAAAGAAATTCTCAGTGGATGTCCGGAGTCAGGAAGTTGGCAGTGTTTCACCGGCGTCCTTCGGAAAGCACGTGAAGCCGTTGGTCCTGCGCCAGCGGATTATGAGATTCGGGTGCATAGAAAGTCAAGAAGTGCTTTGAACACACACTCGAGCACAACTCAATCCCGTCCAGCGCAGATAGCTAGTATCCGTTGAGACTGGCTCCTGTGACCTAAATTTGATCTGGATATTAGTAAATTAGAAATAATATAATAGTCAGAAACTCTTTTACATAACAAAATTATATATTTTGTGTCAGGATCGTCATGTGCCTCTGCGAAGCGACGTCCACGCGCCACTAGCTTTGCTATTATAAAGTGTCGTTTAAGTATGTTAAGATATAATTTTCTTAGACGAAATCATTTAGAAAAAATTAGTATTCATTATTGATCGTCCTATTTTTTTAATTTTTTGGTTTTCATTATTCATACTGACTGTTCAGATATCACAACACTTAGAGCATAAGAGACTGTCTCTAGTAGGTTTATACTGAGGATATTATTTTAGAAATTAGTCATCATCACGTTCTACAGACAAGTAATTTACATTGAATAATGAATACATTAAGATACATAAGTAGTAAACAGAATACATCTTATTTCATTATAATTTAAAGAAAATGTTTCACGCGTCATTCAAGCTCAACATTTTGTTTGTATATATGTTTTTTATAGTATTAAATGGACCAACTAGTTAATAGTCCACCTGATGGAGTGGCTATTCTAGATAATGGACTTCCGCAACGGACGTCAAAAAAGGAACGCCACAAAGAAATACATCTTCAAGTCCCTTAGTGTGCGTCTACAGTGCGAGCCTAGAGCGGTTTCGACGACGGGCGCGAAGTATCAAGCATATGAAACCGCCGTTTGCGTCCATAGTGGTGTAGTGACTAAAGCGGGTGCCTAGCGCGACGGGCATGAGCGAGATAGCGCGCGAATATTTCAAACGTTCCTATACGCTATTATCAGCAAACTACACAATAATACCAAAACCAATAATAAAATCATTAGTGTTTGCTCGGACTACTAATAGTCGTAATCAGATCTTGATCAAGATAAATCAGATCGCATGTAGACATTTTGTTTGTGCGATGAATACTTCGCGAATGTTGGGTGCATTGCCACAAAATATAACGCCATTTCTCAGGATTGAGGCGACATATCCATGGTATGCTACTAATAGTGCTTTCTGGTTTGCTATTTTTCCCAACATATAAAGAACATATGCAAATTGGTGCATTTTTTTTTTACAAATATAATCCTTTTGAGTTTTCCACGACGTATCGTTGTCTATAAGGAATCCCAAATTTTTTTAACCTTTGTTTCTTTACGGTACGAATCCTCCATCGTATGGAACTTTTTTAAAATACGGGCTTGTTTTAATCTCACCTAGTCTGCTCTTTCCGTTATCGTGTAGATCTATCGAACTGAGAATGCGTACAATAAAATTAATATTGTCTTGTCTAGCGCAACCATTAGCACGGAGCACCCACGTGGTGGTGAACGAAACTGTCGAAGAAGAGGTGGAGATCGACGAAACCTCGCCCGGTGAATTGGTGACAATTTCTGAAGGTACGTGCCTAATATTTTTATTTTACTGAATTAAGAATAGCTTTCTTACCCTTCCGTTACAGCTTTTCAAAAGTTCACTGCTGAACATTGGCTTCTCCCCATACATGGCTTCGTAGGTAGAATATGTGCCATAGCTGCCAGTAATTAGGAAGATGCTGCTGCCCATCTTCTGGTTTGTTTCCCTCTATCGTATCTGACGACATCCACGGGCCGATATGGAGTAGTGTATTCTTACACCGACTGACTGCCTCGTTGGTCTAGTGGTTGTAGTAGTGCGACTGCGGATCATGAGTTCCTGGGTTTGAATCCCGGGTCGGGCCAAAAAATTAATTATTTTACCCGGAGTTTTACCCGGAGTCAGGAAGATGGCAGTGTCTCACCCCCGTGCCTCGGAAAGCAAGTAAAGCTGTTGGTCCTGCGCCTGATCTCTCTCCGGTCGTGTCGGTTTACCGTCCCATCGGATTATGAGAGTGAGGGAATAGAGAGTGCACCTGTGCTTGCACATACACTTGGGCACTATAATTCTGTCCTGCGCCGATGGCTAGCCTCCGTTGAGGCAGGCCGCCGTGGCCGGAATCGGTCTGGAGGACATTATTATTATTCTTACACCGTCTGCATGGCGATGATGCAAGGCATGCGAGACAAGCGAAGCTTCGGAGCGAAATAAAGTGAATCAGTGTGATTAATTATTAGTGTTTTAAGTTTAATTAGTGTAAAGTGAATTAAAGTGTTAATTTTGGTAATTCTATCGGCAATTTTTATTGTCACGAACCCTAAGCTCGTAACAATAGGCTTCCCCCAAGGAACACCACAAAGCACGGTCCTGAGCCAGCTGCATCCATCGACTTCCTGCATGTCTTACCAGATTGTTAGTCCATCTAGTGGGGGGAGATCCTACACACTCGAGAACCTTTTTTCCCCATTCGCTGTGGTTTCTTCGAGCTATATGGAGGGCCATTTACCACTTCAGTTTATTAATTCCTTCCCTAATAATACCCTAACCTAATCACTTCTCTGGTTCTACTGCGGATATCCTCGTTTTTAAGTCTATCACGCTCTTGGATCGTCAGTCGTCACTCACACTTACGTGTGGCTCCAACGAAGACGTAAACAGCTGCTCATTGAACCTCTTAATCTCACCCAAAATCTCAGGTGTCCCGGTAAAGATGCTGCCACATTCGGTCTTCACCTTCGACAGTTGGCTCTTTCTGACAGACAGATCTCTGGCAAAGACTTTGGAGTCCTGGTTCCGCTCGATCGCTTCTGCAATGCGAAAGTATTGAAGTTGTGCCGCTGTATGCATTTGGAGATTTGTCTGTTCATTTTTATTCTGTCAAATCTGCTGAAGACTGCAGCTTCATCTCCCGTCTAAAAGTCATGAGATTAATAGTATGATCGAAGAGTTTTTGTGTTCTTCTGCGACGGGTCACGAAAGTTACATCTTAAAATTGAGTAGCGTTTAAGTATTTGGCCATAAAAGAGTCCATGTGGAAAGGTCGTTAAGCAAATCGTCCCTCGGCCGAGACAGAGGCGTTGGTGAGTGTAAACGGGTTTTGCTTTTGTGGCGAGTCAGTTTAGTTTTAGTAGCAGACTAAAAAATGGCTCGCAGAAAAAAAATATTCAAACGGATTTTCAACCGTCTTCCACCACAATTAAATGAAGAATTATGGGTTTTAATAAAAGAAGAAGGTACGCTCGAACAAAAACATTAAAAACCAAAAATAATTTGTTATTAGATTTTTTTTAAATGAAATATGGTGCCGGCTGAATGAGTAATCTTCATACAGCCCGAGCAGAATAGCAATTCGCTGCGGGGGCGGTAGAATGAAAAGAAATGTGGGTAATCGGCCCAGTACTCAAACCGTTAGTCTAGTGTTATTGGTTTGGTTACCCGTAACGAGTACAGTTGCAATACTGTGCTACCAGCCAGTCCTCAGCACGTGTAATGAACACAACACCTAGCGGTCGAGAGGCAGCCACTTAGACTACCCATATGCATGCTTCAGTTATAAACTGAAAAAAAAATTGTTTGAAATAAGTTATGGTCAAACATGAGTAGAGCTATGCTGCAGCTATATTAGTAGTAAAGCTGTAGACCGGGGAAGGACCACACTCTCAAAGAATATCAGCGTAAAATAGCATCTTAACTCTGCTGTGTTTAGTATGGTAAGTGTAGACAACCGGAAACCCTTTTTGCTGGAAACGAGGCATTCCATCTAGTCCTCAGGGTGACAACGCATCTGCGTTTTGATTCGTATCTGAAGGTAGATGTAGATGTCTATGGGCTGCAGCAACTGCTTACCATCAAGTGGACTGTGTGCTCGTTTGTCAGCTTAACCTATAAAAAATCGTAATAAGCGGGACTGCAAGACAAAACAATCCCATCCATTCTTTATTTGTCTGGAAGAAAATGCTTTCAGAAATGAGACCACCCATGGTATATTACTTTTATATACATATCCTTTTTATATTCTGTTTTGTGTGGAATAAAGAATAGATAAAATAAATAAGCAATTAAATTCATTCAAGTTTATTAATTACATCCATGTTTGTGGAATTTTCACCCTTTAAAAAATTATATTTACAGTCTATAAAAGTTGTAAAGTGGTTTAAGTAGCATTATAGATTTTTTTATCGATCCAAGCTGGTACACTATACCATAGTCTCAAAACTGAAATAACTTGCTGCACAAGTCGTTTTAATAAAATACATTAAAATCCAACTCCCCTATGCTAATGTCTCGGCGTAGTGACATTTTGCTGTATTGTGCTCGATTTTGGTTTTGTTGGTTAGTGTTCATACGCACTGTGCACTCAGTCATGGGAACTGTCTCGTCATTGTACTTTATACGTGTGATCAAACCATGAGTTGTTTCAGAGTGCAATAAATATTAGAGAAAGGTTTTAGTCCATGTCCATTCCATCCTTTATAGCCTATAAATGTCCATTGTTGAACATAGGCATTCTTCATAGACTGCTTAAGATTATAATAATTACTTTAAAATAATAATAGAATATAATAATTACTTTAAAATAATAATTACTTTGAAATCCTAGCGAACTATTGCTAGAATTATACCATAGTTGCCAAACTTGGCAGGCGGGTAGGTAATCTGGAAGTTCTCTGTCCCCTTATAGTTCAATTTAATATTTGTTATGCTGCTTGTGTAAGTAAAATAAAATTTAATAGTCTTTCAGTTTAAATAATTATAATTTACACAAGTTAGAAGTCTTACAACACACAAAGAAGTCTCAAGCGAACGAATTAATTCTAATAACAATTTCTTATCACGACTAAACAGTAAACAAACGAACAGTATGGCATACGTAAACGTACTGGTGGCGCGGTGCGGACTATCGAATCGAAGCAAGAGCGGCCAGCGGTGAACCGGTTTGCTGTTGTCGAGTCGCCCTTGCACCGACCGCTGCATTAAACAATAGCCACTGCTAATACTTACTACATATATATAATAATTTCTGTAGAATGGTATGTCCGTAAATATGAAATATATATTTATATAGAAATAATTTAAAATTAAATATTACAATTACACTAAACAATTAACTATTTTACTGCTATTTATAAAGTAACTTATATCAATTAATATTGTTACGCGCTAAAATCGGCGCACTAGCGCCATCTAGTCTCGAACCAAAGAACTAAACTTCTTGAAGTTTAAAACTCGAACTCGGTACCTTGCGCGTGTTTACTTGAACATTCTGGATATTTTGCTAATTTATATAAGTAGGCGCTGCAAGATGCGATCGGGCAGAGTTGAACTCGGCGACACAAGCGAAGCTTCGGAGCGGAATTAAGTGAATTAGTGTGTTTAATTATTAGTGTTTTTAGTTTTAATTGGTGTAAAGTAAATTAAAGTGTTAATTTAGGTAATTTTATCGGCAATTTTTATTGTCACGAACCGCAAGCTCGTAATATTTGGTGTCAGAAGTGGGATAAAATCATGCCGATTTTACCTAAGGAGGAAACGGAGGGTGTTCGTACCCGCAGTCAACGCCAGCATGAGACGGACCAGAGAAGATTTGGTGGTGCAATGCCGCAGACGTCGGAGGGCCAGCCGCCGGCAACGGAGGCCGGTTTGTCAGTAGCTCCTGCATCTGCAGCACCTGATTTAGGCGCCCTGATGGTGATGCTGCAGGAGCAGGCTCGCCGACAGGAGGAGCAGGCTCGCCGACAGGAGGAACAGGTCCGTCAGTGGAAAGAGCAGCTGCAGAGCGGACAAGAGGAACAGGCCCGCCGACAGGAGGAACAGATGCTCCTCATGAAGGACCTTCACGCTACCTTCGGGAAGGAGATAAAGGAGGTGAAGGATAGGGTTGCTCAGCATGACAAACGCCTGTCGGAAGCTGAAACCCAAATCGAGAAAGCTGAAACCCGAATCGACCAAGTAAACAATCGGGTTGACAACGTAATGGCTGACATGAAGAAATCACTGGACGAACTCAAACTTGGAGATGGAGCTACAGCTCCCGTAGTAGCTACAACACCTTCGCTACGTGGGTTCAAGGTGCCACCGTTCGACGGTACCTCTTCCTGGTCAGCCTACAAAATCCAGTTCGAGGCTGTTATGAAGGTGAACGGCTGGAATAAAAATCAGGCCATGACTGCTCTCACACTAGGCCTGCGCGACCAGGCCTTAACAGTTCTGGAAGCTCTCGGTGAGGAAGTAACTTATGAGCAACTCCTTGAGGCATTGGAGGTGAGATATGGCGACGCTCACCTGGAACACGTGTTTCGTGCGCAGCTTAAAGATCGCGTGCAGCGCATCAACGAAAACCTGCAGCAGTGGGCTCTAGAGGTGGAGAAGCTGGTGCGAAAAGCATACCGGTCTGTACCTGCGCTCATTGAAGGGAACCTGGTGCAGACATTTATCGACGGCATCCGTGACCTTAAAGTCAGAGCTGCTGTGAGGCTCGGGCACCGCGAGACGCTTAAGAACGCCTTGGCCCATGCACTGGAGGTAGAAGCCGTGCGGCAGGATCATCGTTCCCATCGCGTCAGGGAGGTTGCAGCAGCTACAGACCGTGACCGCAGCAAAGGATACAGCCCTAGGTGCTATGGCTGTGGGGAAAAGGGCCATCTTCGATCCAGCTGCCCTAAACTAACCGTGGAAAGGAGAGTTGATCGATCTCGAGAGGGTAGTACAGCTAACGGCACTGCCTGGCGGTGACAGGATCATCGTTCACCTCACGCTAGGGAGGTTACAGCAGTTACGGTTCGCGACCACAATAAAAGATACAGCCCTAGGTGCTATGGCTGTGGGGAAAGGGGCCATCTTAGGTCCAGCTGCCCTAAGCACACCCTAGGAAGGGAAGGTGAACGGTCTCAGAAAGGAAGTGCGGCTAACAGCACCGCCCAGCAGCAGCAGGAATACGACTTTACTATCAGACACTGCAGGGGGAAATCTCACGGCAACGCAGATGCATTGAAGACCTTGTCCTGAAGATTGCAACCATTGTAGTAGGCAAGAGAGTAAGGAAGTGGTATCCGTGAGGATGCTCAGGACAGACCACCTCAGCAACGGGTGGAAGGACAGCCTACGACATGCACAGCAGGAAGATCCGGACATCAAGCCGATTCTGGAATGGATAAAGGCCAGTGCTCCCAAGCCCAAGTGGAGTGACGTCTCAGCGATGAGTTCGACCACTAAAAGCTATTGGGCCCAGTGTGACAGCTTGCTGCTTCAGGATGGAGTTCTGTGTCGTAAATGGGAAAACGTTCGGGGAGACAGCTGTCATTTGCAAATGGTTGTCCCTAAAGCTAAAGTACCGGATGTTCTACAGCTGTACCATAATGATTGTTCAGGAGGCCATCTGGGAGTTAAACGAACTCTACTGAAGATCCGAGAACGGTTTTACTGGGTCCACTGTCGAAACGATGTCGAGGACTGGTGTCGCAAATGTACAAGTTGTGCGGCCGTAAAGGGACCTCAGACTCGTAGTAGAGGTGCATTGAAGTTGTACAATGTTGGTGCACCATGGGAGAGAATAGCCATTGACGTGGCGGGGCCGTTTCCGGAGAGTGAAAGCGGTAACAGGTATTTCATGGTTGTGATGGATTACTTCACTAAGTGGCCGGAAGTCTTCGCCATTCCAAATCAAGAAGCTTCAACAGTTGCTGATAAGCTAGTTCATGAAGCCTTCTGTCGTTTTGGTGTACCTTTAGAGATTCACAGCGATCAAGAAAGGAATTTTGAGTCTCAAATATTCCAGGAAACTTGCCGAGTTATGGGTACTCATAAAACAAGAACGACTTCTTATCACCCGCAATCTGATGGAATGGTAGAACGATTTAATCAGACATTGGAGAGGTACCTAGCAAAAGTTGTAGACAATCGGCAACGAGATTGGGACAAGCACATACAACCGTTTTTGTTGTCATATCGAAGCGCTGTTCACGAAAGTACAGCAGTGACACCAGCTTTCGCAAACTTTGGAAGAGAATTACGGCTGCCTGCAGACCTGATCACCGGGATACCACCTGATGCTCCACGCAGTATAACCGATTATGCAAATGACTTGCGGAACAAAATGAATGACGTTTATGAGCACGTCAGACAATCGGGCCAGCAAATGTCTGAAAAGATGAAAACCCGGTATGACCACAAAATGAACAATAAAGGGTTCGACGAAGGTTCACTTGTGTGGTTGCACAATCCAGTCCGCAGCAAAGGGAAATCTCTTAAGCTTCAAGCTAAATGGGAAGGCCCGTACCGGATTGTGACCAGGATCAACGATGTAACCTACCGGATACAGAAAGGCGCAAGAGGGACTCCTAAGATTAATTTAGGTAATTTTATCGGCAATTTTTATTGTCACGAACCGCAAGCTCGTAACAATATTTTGCACACCACACCCTGTTACAATACCCACGGCGCAATTTGGAAGGCAGGCTATTTGTCTTTTTCACGCATTTATTCTGGATTCAAACCTAAGTTTCGCACTCAATAGTCATCGCCTACTCTGATCACTAAGATATTTTAATCAGTAAAGACGTAAGATCATTCTTAGAGGGTTTCTTAGAAGAAATCATCGCTCTTTATAAACCTAAGCTTTCTCTTTTCAAGAAGTAATTACGTTTTATGTACATAATTGTTTTATCATTGTTTTAGAAAAGCAGCAACCATCGGAAAATAACAGTCCAAAATCCACACAAAAGTCTACAGACTCTGACGACATACCGGTAGTGGAGCCGAATGAAGTACAATCTGACAGTAGTGGAGTCTCACCAGTAAAAAAAGCGAAGGTTTCAAAAGGTATTGTTTATAACATAGTAATGACACAAATTAGTAATCCCATCCTTTGTCCATATAAAATACTAGTTTATACACGTTCGTTTCGTTGTCCGCACGGTAATAGACGATATTAATGTAGATAAAAAGTATCAAGATTTTTATGGGACTATCGTAAAATCCGTTCTTAGTGGGCGTGTACATTGCGAAATGAGTAACTGTACGAAATTTCCAGTCAATCAGGTGTATAGTTTCGGAGATATCATGTTGAGTCAGTCAGTCAGTCTGTCAGTGGTATTTCGCTTATATATATTTGTATATATCTACAAAGCCGTACTGTACGCCAGAAACATTTTTATTTTTCAAAACTTGCTCTATTCACAACTTTTATTTGTTATTTTAATCGCATGTTGAAAAAAATTAAGGGCCTAATAATACATCACTAACTTTGCTTTTAACACTGAATTTAATTGAATTGATTTTATCGCGTTTAATTTGCTTATTATTAATCTCCGACGTTTCGGGTGCTTAACAGCGCTCAGTTTTAGAACATTTATTTAATTATTACTGAAGGTAGCCATGCTAAAAATAGTTCTATTCAATGTAATCAAGTGTAGATATATAGATTTGGTTTTTAGGCAAATTTTAAAATTAATGCTTGCAGTAATAAATCATTTTTATGTGACAGGAAAGAAAAAGAAACTATCCATAAACAAGCAGCCATCTGAATCTGGTGTCACCAATTCGAAAACAGCAACCAAGAAAAAGAATAAAGCGAGTAAGGAGAAAGAGGATGTAGACGAGGAAACAGAAAAAGGGGGCTTGAAGAGAAGCAGGTCGCAGCGATCATTGGTGGAAGTGGACAGAGGTTCCTTTAAACTTAATTATAGAAATTTACTCAAATTAGCCTTAGATGAATAATATTTTGTTAAAAAGATATTAAAAGAGGTCACAAGTATAATAATTATAACAGGGAAATTAAAAAAAACAATAGTAAGTAATAGTTACGTGTTGATAATGATAATTTCTTCTTCTGGTTCTGCTGCTTCTGGAGACACATCATCATCATTATCATCATCGTGGGCATCCCTGATAGAATGCCTCTTAATGAGGCTATTTTCCATAGTTGCTGCACTTGGCGAGCGGGTTGGCAACTGCAGTTTTTTAGTTATTTAGCCAATATAAGATAGCCGTTGCTGCTCATCTCCTGATTTGTTTCACTATGTTGCCTCTTACGACGTCCGTGAGATGATATGGGGTAATAGATATTCTTACATCACCAGTATACGGTCGTACACCGCCACCACACTGTAAGGTAGGAAAATTAACTTATTTTTATAATATTAGAAAAACTAACTGCGCTGGTATTAAACACTTCTGCAATCTACTTACTATTAAATATGTTACTTTTTAGCAAAATCACAACCAGCAAAAGATAAAAAGAAAACATCATCCAAAGAGACTTCGCCACCGGTCTCGCCGCCGTTCCAAGATCTCGACGTATCCAATGTAACCGTACGCAGATCGACACGAAGCCTGCAATCTGGATCTAGTTCTGAATCCACTGGGTCACCGCAGAGCGCTGGAACAGAGAACAGCCAGAAGAAAAAGAGTGGAGGAAAAACAGGTATTTACTATATTTATAATACATTTACTTGACTAACGACTACAATTTGCTGTTAAACAAATTGATTGACTGTTGAATTACGTTAATAGATTTCATTTAATGATGCATTTTTAGATTATCTGTCATCCCATAAGGTTTGAAATATGGCCCGTCTTTCCCAAACTACGATACCAATATGCGCATTTTAGGCAAGCTTTCAGCACAGCTTATTGGTCTTATTAATTGGGAGAATGACTTTCTGAATGAATAGTCCTTCCTAGTCCTCGTCAATAGCTCTTCGTCCAATACTATGGCGACATACGCCGAAGTTCCTTAGGGATCTGTTCTCTCCGCAACACTCCTCCTGCTGCATATTAATGATCTGCTTATGCCTGATAGCTACGGGTGAGCAGACATCAGCATGGCTGTACCATGTAAAATATTATTATTACATGTATAATATTTATAACAGGGAAATTAACAAAACAAACTAAGTGATAATTATGTGTTGGTAAAGATAATTTCTTCTTCTGGTTCTGTGGCTTCAGGAAACACATCATCATCACTATCATCATCGTGGGTCTACCTAATGAATGCCTCTTAAGAAGGCTATTTGCCGCAGTTGTTACGTTTGGCAAGCGGGTTGACAACTGCAGGTTTTTAGTTTTTTAGTCGTTATAAGGAAGGCGCTGCTGCTCATCTCCTGATTTGTTTCACTGTGTCGCCTCTTACGACGCCCGTGAGATGATATGGGACAATAGATATTCTTACACCACCAATATATGGTCGTACACCGCCACCACACTGTAAGGTAGGAAAATTAACTTGCTTTTATAATATTAGAAAAACTAACTGCGCTGGTATTAAAAACTTCTGCAAGCTACTTACTATTAAATATGTTACTTTTTTAGCGAAATCACAACCAGCAAAAGATAAAAAGAAAACATCATCCAAAGAGACTTCACCACCGGTCTCGCCGCCGTTCCAAGATCTCGACATATCCAATGTATCCGTACGCAGATCGACTCGAGGCCTGCAATCTAGATCCAGTTCCGAATCCATTGGATCACCACTGAGCGTAGGAGCAAAGAATAACCAGAGGAAAAAGAGTGGAGGAAAAACAGGTATTTACTACATTAACTTGACTAACGACTACAATTTGCTTGCAAACAAATTGTTTGACCGTTGAATTACATCAATAGATTTCATATAATGATGCATTTTTAGATTATCTGTCATCTCATAAGATTTTAACCCCTCAGCCGCCAGCTAAAATGAATAACATCGCTCGCTCGCTTTGCGTGACGCGGCGTAGCTAAAAATAATCTAACCTTCAATTTGTCGTACATTTATTTTCAACAATATTCATTATAAATTTTAATATAATATATTTGTATCTATTTATTTATTATGTTATATTACTTGTTTTAGTGCTTTTACTTCATTACAAATAGATTTTAATTTTATTTTCATAGTTAAAAATGTACGTACCCAGCACAGAACGGCAGCTTGAATATCACAATTATTTCTATATATTACTCGAAATTATTTACGTAAAAAGATAAATTATATTCACACAAAAACTTTTACAACAATTTTATGATAAAACAATATACTAAACACTAATAAAACTTTAGAAAAATCCAAAAATCAACACGATAACACGCCACACGAAATAGGCGTACGAAATGAACGTAGATTATAAATAATAAACCGTAAACCAACTACTTTTTATTGCATTAGAAGATAGGAAATTTCTCATTGAGCCTATAATGTCAAACTTCTTCGTAGAAAAATAGTCTGTAAATATAAGTTTTTATGGGTTAAAGTGATATGGGGGGGCGCCTCAATCAGAGGTTAAATATGGTCCGTTTTTTTTTTCAAAATTACGCGATACCCATATTCACATTATATTTTTCCCTAGCTTTTTAGGCAAGCTTTCAGCATACAGTTTATTCCCTGGCCAGATTAATCGAGTGAAGGACTTTCTGAGTAAACAGTTTCTCCTAGTCTTCGTCAATGGCTGGTAGTCTAAATTTATGTCAACAAACGGCGAAGTTCCTGAGGGGTCCGTTCTCTCCGCAACTCTCTCCTGCATAATGATTATTGATGATCTGCTCATGCCAGATAGCTATGGGTGAGCAGACATCAGAACAGTTATCGAGAGGTGCCAGCCAATTATTCGGGCCAGTGATAGAAGAGTAAAGAGTGCCAGTATAATCACAGGCTGAGAGGCATTTCGTAATAGTCCTCAGAGATGACAATGCATCTATAGCCTTCTTTGAAGTTGGTTGCAGGTGTCCATTGTAGCCACTTACGTAGGTGAACTGTGGGTTTTTTAGCTGCTTCAGCTTCAGTATAAACAAAATGAGAACATCATCAATGGGTGCGTTTGGCAGAATAATTCGCTAGCAAGCGCTTACTAGCGCTAAAATAGTTTTCGGCCAGGACACGATTGCTACTTCAGTAGCGCTGACACAATCCGCCATTTTGCTTATTTAATTTGTTTGTTTTGAAGTAGAGTTTATAAGTTGTTTTGTGCAATATTAGTTTTAAGTAATATAATGACATGAATAGACATATACATGTTATTAAAAATTCATAATTGGTAAGTTTTTAATATGAATACTTCACAAACATATATTTAAATTAGGTTAGGATCCCCGGTTAAAACTAACATCGTGTCCTAGAGGAAAACAGCTACTTTGATTTGACAGCGCTTACCGCTTACGATCTCCATTTTGCCTACAAGCGCTTGCTAGCGCTTTTTTCTGCCAAACGCACCCAATATAGTCAATGTCAATCAAATACGCATTATTAAGGATAACTAATAAACTACTACTACACATTAGAAGCACCAGCTTTCAATGAAAAAAAGAATTGCTTGTCAATTAAAAAGAGAACCAGCTTTCTAATAAAACAAAATTGGTTCACCTAGAATAATTCAATAATTTTTTTTTAATTAATTTTCCCAAGAACAAGGGAAGAATACGAAGCAGACGACACGTTCGACTTCGAGCTCAGTTCGCAGCAGTGCGGGCAGCTCTCAAGGCTCCATGTGCTATGAATCCGCTGATGATACCGAGTTGCATACTATAGTATATGATAAAGAAATAGTAAGTATAGTTTGTTTTACTAGGTCTTGTTACAAATTCCGTCAGTTGAAATCAATGAAAATATTGTTTTCATCTCTTGTTCGTAGACATCTGAATATGTGCGTCAAGTATGGAATCTCCAATATAAAAATAAACATTAACAATATCGAAGCGATTCAAAAAAAAAAATTAATTAGGTATATCATAAGTTTCAAATTTCATATACCTAAAGAAGGCTATGAACTGCAGTGTTCTTGTTTTTGTCTTCATCTCCCGCTGTAAACTGGGCGTAATACAGCTGACCTGGTCTTACTGAGTAAAGTTGCTCAAGATCATTTAAACAGTCCTGACTTATTAAATGATTACATATTTCTGTACCCTCTCGTTCACTGCGCTATTACAATCCCTTACACTTATCTTTATGCAAATCAAATTACAGATGATGAGAGAGTTGAACTCATTTTTTAAGAGCATGTAATTCATTTAACTAATTTTCTAAGGAATGTGACAAAGCTGATCTTTTTTGTACCAGTGGTATTAATATCTAAATTCAGTAACAAACAGTTTTCACTTGAACTATTAAATCTAATTAATGTGTAAGTTATATTTCTTATATACAGTATGTAACAATAATCCCGTTGGTCGTTTCAGGGACGTATAGGTGTACACGTAGGTAGGCATGGCAATTATTTTAATGAGTTTTTTTGGTTGCTTTAGTATAGTTGTAGCACGAATGGGTCGGCTCGACCGGGGAAGGACCACGCTCTCACAGAATACCAACGTAAAATAGTAGCTTAATGCTGCAGTGTTTCGTATGGTAAGTAGAGAACCGGAGACCCTTTTTACTGGAAACAGGCATTCCATCTTAGTCCTCACGGGTGACTACATATCTGCATTTTGATTCGTAATCAAGGAATAGATGTTTATGGGCCGCAGCAACCACTTACCATCAGGTGGGCTGTGTGCTCGTTTGTCACCCTATCCTATGAAAAAAATTCCGTTATAGACTTTGAAACATCCAACCGAATTTTTTGTGTATTTGAACGGGTCCCTAGATGGTTTATATTCAAATTTGAACCCGGTAGGTGGCGCTGTTGTTGAGATCGCTAGTATAATATGAAAATTATTCAATAAACAAGGTTTATTGAATAAAACTAAATTTACGGATTCTATCGCGTTTATTTAACTGATTTTACTTATTTTTAATTCCCGACGTTTCGGGTGCTTTACAGCACCCACGGGCCCGGGGGGGACTGAGATGTTTGACGTCCCAATGTCATAGTTAGCCCAACAAGGTTTATACAATACCATTTTTCTATCTCTAACTAGTGTGTTTTACTCGCAGTAAATATTTGAAAAACACTAATTTCACTGCAGCTAAACAAGGTACGAATCAACATATTTTATTTAGTCTGCAACTTTAAGCCGCTTGGTAAATACAGATAGCAGCACATAACATAGGCACTTAAATTCAATTCCGTTGTAGACAGTATTAGTGGGATGAATGAAGGGTTCAGTAGTCAGTGATACAAAAGAAAATAATACAAAAAATATATATATATATATATATATATATATATATATATATATATATATATTGTGCGGCAAAAAAACAAACAGAGAGAAAGCAAAAAACACGGTCTTCTTACTATAATGGGTAGGATATATTGTTGTAGATTTGAATAGTATTTATTACTAAAATATGAACCAAAAATATAACAAGGTACTTAAATGGCAGATTAGATAACGATACGGAGTTATAAAACTTGGCTCTTAAGTTCTGAAAAATTTTTTTTTTGTAAATGTTTGAGAGTGCAAGAGACATAGAGAAAGTTGAATTGATTGTGATTGCAGAAACCAACGTCCGAGTTTAAATTACACAATCTAAAATAACAAATTAACGGTTTTAATAGCCTCAGCGACTTGCCTATCAATCAAGACTTCCATACTGTTGTGACAGCTTTTTTCTTTTTTACAAAAACGTTACCTCCGCCCTAGGTATTTCTCCTGTATCGTGCGTGGGGGCAGTTCACATACATAAATTTTACATGGACTAACATCCAGACCCGGAAGAATTATTTGTAGTGTGTATTTGTTTCGTGCGTGATTCGAACCCGCAGCTCTCAGTGCTGCAATTGCTATGCCACTGCGCCACGAAGCCCTCAAGTTTGGATTCTTTAATGATTATTCTAAACAAGAATTTATTAACAATCCTATGAACTTTTACTTTTTACAGGAACAGTCCCTTCTAGATGATAGCAGTGAGCTGGCGGACAGTAAAAGGGTGTCCAAATCGAATGTCACCATACCGGAGACTCCGGATCCAAGTGAAGAGTAAGTATAAAAACAAAATAATGCAAATATTACCTACAGTCTCCACGAGTCGGGAGTATCAGAGTTTTTTTTTATAGAATAAGGATTATAAACGAGTTTTAAGTAACAGTTTTACCAACCAAAAGTACTTACTACATTTGTATCGACGATATTTCTAGCATTAAATTAGTGGTAGGACTTCAGCTATATTATGATTGTAGCTGTAATGGGTCGGCTCGACCGCGAATGACCACGCTCGCAACTAAACCAGTGTATAACCTGTTTCGTATGGTGAGTGTAGAGAACCGGAGACAGTTTTTACTGGAAACAAGGCATTCCATCTTAGTCCTCAGAGGGACAACGCATTAGCAGTTTGTTTTTTAATCAAGGATAAATGTAGATGTCTATGGGTCACAGCATCCACTAACCATCAGGTGGACTGTGTGCTCGTTAGTCACACTTATTCTATACAAAAAAAAAACGTTGGGTATCGTTTGTCGCCGGAAATCACTACGTTCCTGCGTTACGTTTGTTCACTATCATAATATTTTAAAACCTAAAATAAGGCTTGTTCTGAAATAGAACCGAGTATACTGACCAATGCGTCATAAATCGACGCCATACTGGTGATTTGTTTTTAAAACGTTGGCCATAGTCAAAGATGCCGCTGCAAAATCACTATGTTCATTACGTCGGGAGTCAAATACACATTTTTACATAACTTTATGAATACACTGATAAAACCGCAGCCAGTCAAAAGTGGTGGCAAGTAATTTTAATTGAATTAATGTTAATTAATATTCCAAAAAAAAATCGTGCACTTCTCTTTTAAATAAAATATCATCCACATCATAACAATGCAAGTAAAGAATTCTAAAATCCATAGGTGTCGTTGCACACTCGGCCGCAACTACCTCGCAGCCAGGTGTAAGCAGGTAATATTTTGATCTATTTATACGTTCATGACTTAAACGGATGTTTTTTATATCAAATTAAAGCTAATTATTTTCTAACATGATGATATATTGCTGTCGATATCCGAAATAAAGTGAGAGAGAGAGTTAGCGCGCAACGCCACTTGTTAGATAAGGAACTTGATAAGGAAGTTAGTTTTAAAAGCACAGATTCATTACGGAAGAAGTTTTATTATGAGAGGTATGTTATTTATTTTACGATTGAATTGAAATTTAACAACTATTTGAAGTAAAAATAAACGTGTGATATAAAAACTAACTTAACTTAATTTGGGACACTCGGTACATTTTTCTAAAGGAGAATTGATCAAAAGAGAATTAGTAATTGTATTAACGAACTGTAATAAAAACTAATATTTCTTCAAATATGGTATGCGTAGTATTAGGTAAAAACATAACCGAAATTCTATACTTCATAAATACGCTTTTCATTTTTACTTGATCAATAAACAATTTTTTATTATAAAATAAATCTCTTACTTTTACTTCTTCAAGTTTTTTTCATAATATTCATTACGTAATTATAATTTTGGTAGCTTGAGCTGCCGGCGGAGAACCCCATCTATCGCATGCGGCTCACACATCTGGCATTCGCCATCCTCATCTAACAAGTGGCATTGCGCGCTAACTCTCTCTAACTTTATCTCGGATATATCGCGTATTTAACAGATAACACTTCTAATTGGCTTTAATTTGTTATAAAAAACATCCGTGTAAGTTATGAACGTATAAATAGATCAAAATATTACCTGCTTACACCTGGCTGCGAGGTAGTTGCGGCCGAGTGTGCAACGACACCTTAATTCCCAACTTCCTTACATGCATTGTTATGATGTGGATGATATTTTATTTAAAAGAGATGCGAACGAATTTTTTTTTGGAATATTAATTAACATTAATTTAATAAAATAATTTGCCGTGTAGTTTGCAGGATATCCGCAGTAGAACCAGAGTGAACGACATAGCCCAACGTATTAATAATCTGAAGTGGCAATGGGCCGGCCATATAGATAGCTGGAAGAAACGATAACCGATGGGGAACAAAAGGTTCTCGAGTGGCAGCCTCGTACCGGTAGGCGAAGTGTAGGGCCTCCCCCCACTAGATGGAGTAACGATCTGGTAAGACCTGCAGGTGGCTCAGGACTGTGCTTTGTGGCATTACTTGGGGGAGGCCTATGTTCAGCAGTGGACTTGTGAAGGGCTGTAATGATGATGATGATGATGGTTAATTTTATTAAAATCACTTGTGGCCACTTTTGACTGACTGCGCTGTTATCAGTGTATCCTCCTATTCATAAACTTATGTAAAAATGCGTATTTGACTCCCGACGCAATGAACGTAGTGATTTTCCAGCGGGATCTCGTACTATCAGTAAATGGCATCATTCATTTGCGCCATATTGCAAACCATTTTTTGTATTTGAATAAATAAAAATAAATTCTGCCATGCTTCATTCAGCGTACACACAATTAAAAAATTGTTTTAATATGGCCGGATATCCGACACAATATGGCGGCGGCACGCCAGTACAATGTGGTGTCAATTGATGACGTCATTTGCATTCGCCAGTTTACTTGGTTCTATTTCGGAACACAGGCAACATAAGACATCGGTCTATAATCATTACTGATTTTGACATTTACACAATACAACGAAACCTAACTTTGAAGGTCATAACGAATCCAACCACGATAATCACCAGAGATATTCGATCCCACTCCATGCACGTGAACAGATGTTACGCGATAATTGAAACTATTGCTAGTCAATGTGGTCTCAAATTTATTATAAAATTTAAATTATTTACGACAACGTTTTTTCCACAGGTCTGATTCTGAACCGGAGCCTATTATCGTGAAAGGGAAAGGAAAACGCAACGGAAAAAAACAACATTGATTTTAAACTTGTATGTTTTTAATAAATTTTGTTCATCTTACTCGCTATTTTATTTACGACTAGTAATCACAAAATTATAGATAACGATTTTAGTTTTGTCATAAATGCAATAAAAATTGTCATGGCATAAATTAAAAGAAAAAAAACTTAAAGCATTGATTACTTATTGTTTTAATATGTATGAAGTCTGCTAAAATATAAATGATATTCATCTATTGGAGTGATGGCGGGGCAATAGAATCCACTATTATATTTGTTCTTGTCAGAATCATAAGTGCCCTATATATTATATTATCTATGATCGAGAGATTGAAAATTAACTAACGCTGACAGAATCTTGGCGCCCGCGCACTGCCTCTATCCCCGCTCTTTCCCTAGTGACCAATCATCGTTCCGGTGTTCCCTCCCTAATCTTCATGACGTCTTAGCTGTCACGCGCCTAATTATGTTGGTCACGTGGTAGAATAAAATTATTTATTTTTCTAAAATACGGTACAAAAAGTATTGTCATTTACATTATAGTTTACAGTTTCTGATGTACAAATTTTTTAATCTTTAAATAATGTAAGAATTAGGTAATCACTTGTCGAATAGTAACATTTTTTATTGATAACCGAAACGATTTGCATTTAAACAATTAAGTAATTTATGTGGGATATGGATGGCCATTCTAAATGATTTTTTGCTGTACATTCCTGTCCATTGATGAGTGTTGTGTAATTTCTTATGACATCTGCAATTTTATTGTGTAAATATTGTAACAAATATAAATAAAAACGTAAAAAAGCTATTAAAATAATAAAAATAAATACGAGTATTTATTAAATATGTTTTAGTTTGATTTAATGGTAACATATTATTACCTAATGCTACCTATTAAGTTATACAAAATTTGATTTAAACGATTTCAACAATCCACACATGTAAAGCTTGCAAATATTTATTAATCGCGAAGTGAGTACGGAATCTCACTCTATCACTTACGCCCTTTACATATGTTTGTTTGCTACTTGACGTCACTATACCCAGGGATATTTGAAATGTTACATAGGCGACACTTTTCACATTATTCAACAGTTCGAAAAAACAGGCATTATGTAATAATCGTTTGATTTACTAAAAAATTCCACTTATAATTTTTGATGAAATCATAATTGCTTAAAAATATTACATCGTTAAGCACTATACACATTATATTGTCTCAGGAAAGGTTGGTGTGTTGTGCTTTTTGCGCCAATCTGTATTATATTGATCGTCACGTGGTTTGTCTCCCCAATTCCAGGTTTTATCCCATGGCTTCCCGTTGTTCCATTTGTGTTCATTATTATGCCAGTCTGCTCCATTTCCGAAACTCCACCTTAAATTTTAAGCAAAAGTGCTAAGATTATGTTTTAGTTATGATTTTAAAAAAACGGTACGGTACCTTAAAGGCAAGTTATACTACAACACGGTATATACATTTTAAGAACATCTGATATCCTGGTATTTATGTAATACGGGAATTTATTCTGGATTACCAAAATTCCAAACTCTTCATTTTGGAATAACCATAATGTTATTTTTGCACAAATACTGTCTGTCTGTTAACCATTATAAATCGGTGCCCAAACCGGGCAGGAATTCCTTTTTCTCAAAGTGGCAACTGGCAAGCGAATCACCCGAAATAGCGAAAAATCTATACAAATCAAATTTCAGATCTTTGCGATTTTTAAAGGATCTCTTTTGATAGGATCATACGTGGATGATACCTGGCTATTTTAATATAATAATACCGGAGTCGTGTATAAAAGAATCTATAGTTTAACGACTTTGGGAATGCTGGCAAAATCTTATGAATTCTGAAATATGGCGGTATACTTTCTACGTGGTAGAGCCATGCTGCAGTTATATTAGTAGTATAGTTGTGGCACGAATGGGTCGGCTCGACCTGGGAGGGTCCACGCTTTCACAGAATACCATCGTGAAATAGTAGCTTAGTGCTACTGTATTTCGTATGGTGAGTGTAGAGAACCGGAGACCCTTTTTACTGAAAATGAGGCATTCCATCTCAGTAAAATACCCAGAGCGGCGAGGGGTAGCAAAGTATAAGGAGCAAGACGTCTGGAACAACAATCATCAATCTGCCAGCCAAGTATGACTGGAGAGACTCCGGTCGGCTGTGAAAATTTACGTACTGATGAAGGTCCGAGAAAGACCACCAGTTTGAGCCAATTTCTTTTTAAATAAAGGGGTTTTAAAAAAGAAGTAAGATATGGAAATCGATTGTTTTATACGCTCAGTTTAAAATAACGCAAACCGCGCTGTTTTCTTACCTGTTATCATTCCCCTGACCGTTGTAAGAGCCACTGCTTTGTGAGTTGTCGCCGAATCTGTTACCTAGTCCATTGTCAGGTCGTTTTTTGTACTGTTGATGCGTGGTTATAATAAATTCCGCGCCACGCTCTGCGACCATTATAGTAGGAGCCGCTGTGTTACCTGAAATAATTGTAAGTTTATTATTATGAGTTGACGGCTCCGAGGCGCAGTGGCTCAGCAATGAATTGCAGCGCTGGGAGCCGCGGGTTCGAATCCCACACTGAACAAGTATTTGTATGGCCTACGAATACTTGTTTCGGGTCTGGATGTTTGTCCTTGTGAAATTTATGTATGTAAACTACCCTCACAATACAGAAGAAAATCCTAGTGTGGAGGTAAAGTTAAGAAATAAAGAAATATATTATGTATTGATTTAAGCGACACTTGCCTTGAACGCATTGTAATGAATACGAAACCGTACAAATACTTAAATTTTTATGTTTCTTATTTTTTTATAAAATGATAGTGGAAAATCAAGTAACAGAAATAACGGTCTTTGGTAAGTGGTCATGGACCCAAAATGGTGATGATGAAGATTTTAACAAACTAGGGTATCATGTCCTACGAACCTACTTCACTAGTGTTACCTAAGTATGATGAAGAATTCTTTCATGTGTGGCAAACCATCTGACAGGAACAACTATCTGGTGGTAAGTGGCCACAGCAAACTATGGACCTCCTGTCCTAAGTACGGTATGAAGATTTTTTTAAAGTTTTTTTGGAATATTCTTAAAATGACAAACAACGTAACGGTCTACGTAACGGTTATTTGTAATGAGGCAAAATACGTAAATATTTTTTTCTTCCTTCTTTCTAATACAATATTAATCATTGAATTAAACTATATTTACGGATTTTATCGCGTTTAATTAAGAAATCACTATATTAATCAATTAATTAAACCACACTTTGAATTTATTAACCCTAACGTTAAATATATTTAGTATTATGAATTTCCTAGATCTCATTCATTTTTGTAAATATCACTTGGAGACATGATAAAGTAAAAGTAAGTAAAATATACTTTATTGTACACCAAGGAACATATTACATTATTTATATATTTAAAGGGACATTGGTACAACAGGCGGCCTTATCGCTAAAACAGCGATCTCTTCCAGGCAACCTTAGGGCAGAGGATACTATTTTAAAAGATAGCGGAAGGGGTGTACAGAATATGATAAAGAAAGATAAATAGAAGAACATAAATGATTAAAAATGAATGACGACAGGTAGTAACTTAAGAGGAAAGGTAATAAAGTTTTAATTTATTTTTAAATATAGGAAGAGATTTAGATTTTTTGATATGTAAGGGGAGAGAATTCCATAGTCGTATAGCGGTAACCGTAAAAGAATTAGAATAGAAGGAAGAGGAATGTCTAGGGGTACTTAGAAGGAGATTATTTTGAGATCGTAAACTACTTAAATATATAAATCGGTCTTTCAAATAAGAAGGAGTGGTCGGATTGAACAGAATGCAGTAAAGAAGATGAAGAATGTGAGTATTCCTGCGAAGACGAATCGGGAGCCACTTGAGCTTATGGCGGAATTCGGATATGTGGTCATACTTTCGTAACCCAAATATAAACCTTATGCAATAATTTTGAAGCCGCTCAAGTTTATTAAGTTGCTCGTATGTTAGGTCAAGATAACAAGTGTCCGCGTAGTCAAGGATCGGTAAAAGAAGAGACTGAGCCAGCGCAACTTTAGTAGGAATGGGGAGAACATTGCGTAATCTTCGAAGTGAACCAACTGCGGCAAACATTTTTTTACTTATTTCACTAACTTGCGGTCCCCAAGACAAAGTCTGATCGAACATAATACCTAAATTCTTAACTTTTTCACTGTACGGGATAAGTGTCCCATCGAATATGATTGGCGGGAGCAGCGACAAAGTTAACCGAGAGATTAATTTCGAACTCCCAATAATAATGGCTTGAGTCTTCAATGGATTAACTTTAAGCCCAAATGAATTACACCAATGAGAAATACGAATAAGATCTTCATTAATTAATCTAATTGTATTGGGGAGATCCGCAATCTTACATTGAGAGTAGATTTGTAAATCGTCTGCATATAGGTGGTAAAGAGAAGTTATGTGGGAACAGATCGAATTGATAAAGATAGAGAACAATAGAGGAGACAACACGCCACCTTGTGGGACGCCAGATTTGACAGCAGACCAGTCAGAAAACGTGTCTTGAATTTGTACACGTTGCCGGCGCCCTTGCAAGTAACTATGAAACCAACCAATTACTTCAGGAGATATGTTAAGAGAACTTAGGACAGCGAGTAAAACATCAAAGTCTACAGTATTGAAGGCATTACTAAAGTCAAGCAATGTCAATACTGTAACCTGCTGACTATCCATGCCCAGGCGAATATCATCAGTGATTCTAACCAAAGCCGTAGTCGTACTATGACCGGGACGGAAACCAGATTGGAATGAATTCAAAAGGTTATGATTGGACAGGAATTTGCTCAGCTGTTGGTATATTAGGCGCTCGAGTACTTTAGAGAGAAAGGAAAGGATGGATATAGGACGGTAATCCTCATATGTCGGATTAGATTTTTTAGGGAGTGGAGTTACTAGGCCGTCTTTCCAGGATGAAGGAAAAACACTGGTGTCAAGGGAACGGTTTAAA